CCAAAGTGAGGGGATCGCTTGAGTCCAGAAGTTCGAGACCAGCTTGGGCAACATAGCAAGACCCTGTCTCTACCAAAAACATAATGATAATAACAATAATAATAATATTACTCTCAGGCAAGTACTGTGGGAAATGTGGACTGCAACAGAACCTGCCTAACTTCAAAAAGAAACAAGTAAAAAAATATAAAAATTAGCCGGGCATGGGGGCATGTACCTGTAATCCAAGCTACTAGGGAGGCTGAGGTAGGAGAATGGCTTGAACCTGGGAGGCAGAGGTTGCAGTGAGCTGAGACTGTGCCACTGCACTCCAGCCTGGGTGACAGAGCAAGAGACTCTGTCTAAAAAAAAAAAAAAAAAAAAAAAAAAAAGCCAGGCACAGTAGCTCACACCTGTAATCCCAGCACTTTGGGAGGCCAAGGCGGGCAGATCACGAGTTCAGGAGTTTGAGGCCAGCCTGGCCAACATAGTGAAACCCTGTCTCTACTAATAATACAAAAAAATTAGCCAGGCGTGGTGGTGGGTGCCTGTAATCCCAGCTACTCCAGAGGCTGAGGCAGGAGAATCACTTGAGCCCAGAAGACCAAGGTTGCTGTGAGCCGAGATCATGCCGCTGTACTCCAGCCCAGGCAACAGTTCAAGACTCTGACTCGAAAAAAAAAAAGTATTTTATTAAGGAATGCCTCTGCTGTTAGACAATACTCTACCAAGTGGTAAAAATGCAGGTCTCCAGTTACACAGGAGGAGGCTGAGGCAGGAGAACCGCTTGAACCTGGGAGGCAGAGGTTGCTGTGAACTGAGATTGTGCCACTGCACTCCAGCCTGGGCAACAACTGTGAAAACTCCATATCAAACCAAAAAAAAACTTTAAAAGAGGGTGTGGTAGGTCAGGCCTGTAATCCCAGCACTTTGGGAGATGGAGGTAGGAGGATCACCTGAGTCCAAGAGTTTGAGAACAGCTTCACCAACATGGCGAGACCCCATCTCCACAAAAAATTATTAAAAATAAAAATATATGAGCCAGACATGGTGGTGCACACCTGCGGTCCCAGCGACCTTAAGGGCTGAAGCGTGAGGATGGCTTGAGCCCAGGTCAAGGCTGCACTCCAGCCTGGGTGACAGAGTGAGGCCCTGTCTCAAAAAACACAAAACAAAAACAAACGTGCAGATGTCCCAGACTCACGGTCAGGCCTAGGCACAAACCTCACCGAAAGCCTCTTTCTCTAGCCTTCTGGCAAAGCAGCACGAGACTGAACGAGCTCAAGCTGCCTCCCTCTGCAAACACCTCCGATCTCCCCAGACACCAAGACACGCCTTCCTCTTCACCCCCGAGCGCGTTGGTATAAAACCCTGCAATAAATGACTCAATCGCTCCATAACGCCATCTCATCCCCAGAAACACAGTGGGAACCCAAATTCCCAGAAGGAAAGTAAACAGATGACACTCCTTTAGGTTCGTTCAGTTCTTCATACTCACCTAAAATGCTTGGTCACACGTCCCGACAGGTAGCAGAATGAGGGTGACCCTGTATTCCTTACAGATGAGGGAATGCACATAGAAAGGGTGTGGGCATCAGTGGCCAGGTCTAGGCCACCAGGAGGCAAGAGAGAACCCCAGCCTCCTCCTGTCTATACAGGACTGCCTCTCTTTGGCTAACGAGACACTTCTCACTGAGCTAGAATCAAAAGTTACAGGAATTCACAATCCCCACACCCAAAGGACCTCGCTAGCGCATACCGTTGCCCACAGTTTTCACCCAGCTCCTGTCCTCCCTCCTCCAACAGTGTTTCCTTTTAAAGTGTCTACCAGCTGGGCATGTTGGCTCACACCTGGAATCCCAGCACTATGGGAGGCCGAGGCGGGTGGGTCACAAGGTCAGGAGTTCTAGATACGGTGAAACCCTGTCTCTACTAAAAATATAAAAATTAGCTGGGCATGGTGGCACATGCCTGTAATCTCAGCTACCTGGGAGGCTGAGGCAGGAGAATTGCTTGAACCTGAGAGGTAGAGGCTGCAGTGAACCGAGGTTGCACCAGTGTACTCCAGTCTGGGTATCAGAACAAGACTCCATCACAAAAAAATAATAATTCTTAAAAAATACTAAAGCATCTGCCTCTGTCTGTGAAAGGCATGGCAGTCCCACTTACTCCCACTCCCACTCTGGTGTTGAGACAGCAAATTTTAAAACAGAGGAGCACCGCCCTAGGGCAGCACCATGTGACAGCACGGCCTTCCCCACCCGATTCCTGAGCCTGGATGCAGTCACCTCACCCCATTTTATCAGTGGTGACAGGGGCTGTTTCCCAGGCTTTCTCACTCTGAAATTTCTCTCTAGATTTCAGGCAACATACTGTGGCCAGCCACAGGAACATTCTAGAAAAAAACTGGGAACAAAAGCAATAACTGGGGTCATGTGCATTTGTTACAGGGCCTCCTGAAAAAGAGACGGAGGGAGACCAGCACCGAGGGAAAGAAAAAGGGGTGGCAGGAGAGGGAGGAGATGAGATCATCAAAAAGAAGAAACCCAAAATAAAATTAAGTGCTGGCTCATGCCTGCAATCTCAGCACTTTGGGAAGCCGAGGCAGCCAGGTCACCAGAACTCAGGAGTTCAAGAGCATCCTGGCCAACATGGTGAAACCCCATCTCTACTAAAAATATAAAAATTAGCCAGGTGTGGCGGTATGTGCCTGTAGTCCCAGCTACCTGGGAGGCTCAGGCAGGAGAATTGCTTGAATCTGTGGGGCAGAGGCTGCAGTGAGCCAAGACTGCATCACTGCACTCCAGCCTGGGCAATAGAGTGAGACTTCATCTCAGAAAAAAAAAAAAATTAAAAGCAGCCAAGGGAAAAAAGCATGGGTTCGGGTTTATCCATTGTCTCTGACCGATGTAAGTTGATGGTAATTGACTAACAGCAGCCAGGCCCTCCTCAATACTTTAGTATTTTCTACAGAGAGAGGCCTGACCTTCAGCGCCATCTCAAAGGTGACCTCCTAGAGCCCCCTCCAGTGATCACTCTTGGTCCCTGGTGTCTGTCACCCAGCAACCTGGACCTGCACCCTGAGAATAGGAACAGCACTGATGAAGCTGAGGCTGGTGGTCTCCAGGCTCCCAGAGAAAATGTAAGATGGGGTAAGACCCATTTGCCAGTAGTGACAGACAAGGCAAGCCTGCAGTTACCTGATGCCTTTGTATCTGGGAAACAGTGGGTCCTTCACATATACACAATGTTTTAAGTTCCTTTTCAAACTCATTTTTAAGGCTGGCACGGTGGCTCACACCTGTAATCCCAGCACTTTGGGAGGCCGAGGCGAGCAGATTGCCTGAGCTCAGGAGTTCGAAACCAGCCTGGGCAACATGATGAAACCACGTCTCTACTAAAAGTACAAAAAATTAGCAGGGCGTGGTAGCAGATGCCTGTAGTCCCGGCTACTCAGGAGGCTGAGGCAGGAGAATCGCTTGAACCTGGGAGGCGGAGGTTGCAGTGAGCCAAGATCACACCACTATATTCCAGCCTGGATGACAGAGTGAGACTCTGTCTCAAAAACAAAACAAAACAAAACAAATTTTAAAAATTAAATTTATCTTGACTATGCCTATGTTCACTACAGCCAAAACTAGCCCGCCCATCTTCCTTCCCTCCCTTCCTTCCTTTCTTTCTTGAGACAGGGTCTTGCTCTGTCACCCAGGCTGGAGTGCAGTGGCACAATCATAGCTCACTGCAGCCTCAACCTTTTGGGCTCAAGTGATCCTCCTACCTCAGCCTCCTGAGTAGCTGGGACCATGGGCTCACGTCACCGCACCCAGATCATTTTTGTACATTTTGTAGTGATGGGGTCTACCTATGTTACCCAGGCTGGTCTTGAACTCTTGACCTCAGGTGATGCATCTGCCTTGGCCTCCCAAAGTACTGGGATTACAGGCATGAGCCACCACACCCAGCCTCACCTGATACTTTAGTTACTCAATAATAGGCTGGACGCAGTGGCTCACACCTATAGTCCCAGCACTTGGGGAGGCTGAGGTGGGCAGATTGCCTGAGCTCGGGAGTTTCAGACCAGCCGGGCAACATGGTGAAACCCCATCTCTACTAAAATACAAAAAATTAGACAGGCATGGTAGCACACACAGTCCCAGCTACTCAGGAAGCGGGGGCGGGAGAATCGCTTGAACCCCGGAGGCAGAGAGTACAGAGAGCCAAGATTGCATCACTGCACTCCAGTCTCGGTGACAGAGCGAGATTCTGTCTCCAGCAACAACAACAACAAAAAAGAAAGAACTAAGTACCTACTATAGGCTGGAGGTGGCTCAGAAGTCTCTACATGGCTCCTCTAATTACCAGGGGTCTGACTTTCCAGCAAGAAATTAAACCTGACTTTAGATTCCTCCTCTGGAAGCTGGAGATAATTGTCTACCTCACAGTGTTGTCTCGAAAATGTAACAAGGTGGGCACGTGCAGTGACTCCCACCTGTAATCTCAGTACTTCGGAAGGCTGAGGCAGGCAGACCACGACGTCAGGAGTTTGAGACCAGCCTGATCAACATGGTGAAACCCCTTCTCTACTAAAAAATAATACAAATAATTAGCTGGGTGTGGTAGCATACACCTGTAATCCCAGCTACTCAGGAGGCTGAGGCAGGAGAATTGCCTAAACCCGGGAGGTGGAGGTTGCGGTGAGCCAAAATCATGCCACTGCACTCCAGCCTGGGCGACAGAGTAAGACTCCATCTCCAAAAAAAAAAAAAAAAAAAAAAAAAAAAAAAAAAAAAAAAAAACAAAAATAAAAAAGAAAAAAAAAAAAAAAAAAAAAAAAAAAAAAAGAAAGAAAGAAAATGTAAGGAATGAAATACATCATGTTTAAGGCCAGGCACAGTGGGTCACGCCTGTAATCCGAGCATTTTGGGAGGCTGAGGCAGGTGGATCAATTGAGGTTAGGAGTTCGAGACCAGCCTGACCAATACGACAAAACCCCATCTCTACTAAAAATACAACAATTAGCCAGGCAGGGTGGTGGGCACCTGTAATCCCAGCTACTCAGGAGGCTGAGACAGGAGAATCACTTGAACCCAAGAGACAGAGGTTGCAGTGAGCCAAAATCGCGCCACTGCATACTCTAGCCTGGGTAACAAGAGTGAAACTCCGTCTCAAAAAATATATATAAATAAACAAAATATATATGTATAAGTACCAAGAATATAGTCACTCCTTAATGTTAGCTACTGATGGCAATGCCATCAGGATTTTGAAACACTGACTGTATCACTGGAATTTTGCAAACATGCCGTATGATCTATGCATGTCTAGTCTCTGACCCTCCTGCCCGCTTTTGCCCTGAATTCGCTTCTGGAACTGGGAGCACGGTGCCACACACAGTGCCAGGGATGAAAGCAAAAAGCCAACAGGTTTCAATCCTCAGTTAAGAGAAGCAAACCCTGAGGAATAACCTGTGCATCCCGTCAGCCACCCAAACCAGAGCCCAGTTTGCGTGGAACAGCAGAAAGTCCAGAAGATTGGGTCCTACTCCTCCCTAGCTCTACCGAGCCAGCACTGAACCTGAGCCAATTCATACAACTGCACCTTCGTCATCTACACAAAGAGAATAACAGCAGGACTCTTGATAATCTCATGAGATTACAGACATGGGAAAACCCCATAAAAGATAAAACAGATAGATGGGATCACGCTCTCAGACACCTTTACGTGTCTAGCAAGTCCTTACTGAGCAGTCCCCGTGGGCCACAAGGGAGTGGCAGGCTGGTGTCCTGAGGTCTTCCCTCAATACTCATTTCTGCCGTGATTTGGAGGAATATCTTGCAACTTTCCCAGCCCCAGAAAACAAGCAAGAGAGAACGAGTTCAGTGTACGCTGGCAAAAAGTCTTGCTTCTACTGTCAGCTTTCTTATGCAGAACAAATCTATGCCTGTAAATCTAGTGATAATCTGGGGAGTTACCGGAGAAATACATCAGGCAGTCTGTCATTCTGCAGGAAGAGTCCTAACACACAGCCGTGTCTCGAACAGTGGTCTTGGGGGAAGTGCCCCTACATTGCTCCTGCTTTCCTACGGCCTATCTGCTGATTTTTCTTCTACTTCTTCTTCTTTTTTTTTTTTTTGAGACAAAGTCTTGGTCTGTCACCCAAACTGGAGTGCAGTGGCGTGATCTCAGCTCACTGCAACCTCTGCCTCCCGAGTTAAAGAGATTTTCCTGCCTCAGTCTCCCAAGTAGCTGGGATTACAGGCGTCTGCCACCACGCCCAGCTAATTTTTGTGTTTTTAGGAGAGACAGGGTTTCACCATGTTGGCTGGGCTGGTCTTGAACTCCTTGAACTCCTCAAGTGATCCACCCACCTCAGCCTCCCAAAGTTCTGGGATCACAGGCATGAGCCACTGTGCTCAGCCTCTTTCTTCTACTTACAAAGATGCTGGGTTTTCTCACATCTCCATTAATGGAGCTAAAAGGTGAAGGGAGTGCCAGCCAAGGTTACTAAGAGTAACGTGTGTAGTGCTCGTGTGTGTGTGTGTGTGTGTGTGTGTGTGTGTGCACGCACACGTGCACGTGTGAAGGATGAAGGGGTAGCTAACTCTCCACAGTAGCATTCCCCACTAGAACAGACACTCCTTGCCAGCCAGCTGGACCTCTGGGACAACCAGGTGAACAGGGGATGGAGAAACGCTTTAGGGCCAGACAGCCTTGGGCTATGAATTCTAGTTCCACAGACCAATAACCCTTTGGAAAGTCACTTCACCTCCCCAGGCTTCAATTTCCTCAGCTCTAATGAAAGTAACAATAATAGTATGACTGGCTACATTTTTCAAGTACCAGGCATCATGAAATTGGCCATCTCAATCCTTGTAATCATTCCAGAAAGCAAAATGGAGACTAGATTAGGTAGGGACTTCCTTAGGATTAAATGGGCTAACACGAGTGAGTCAGATGTTAAATGTCTAATACCTGAAAGCTGCCCAACTAATTCTGGCACCCAGAATGTCACTCGCCTGCTCTGCTTGAGCTCCGGGGTACCCCACAGTCCAGCCACCAAGCCCAGCAGCACACTGAGCACACATGATGCAATAAGCTGGAAGAGTGGTCCCCAAGCGTGTAATTGGGGGCAACTCGAGAGCTCCTCAGACTGCAAAACGGGCAAGAAGGCCAGGCACGGTGGCTCACGCCTATAATCCCAACACTTTGGGAGGCCAAGGCAGGCAGACCTCCTGCGGTCAGGAGTTTGAGACCAGCCTGGCCAACAAGGCAGACCCAGTTTTTACTAAAAATACAAAAATTAAAAATAATAATAATACAAAAATTAGCCAGGTATGGTGACGCATGGCTGTAATCCCAGCTACTCGGGAGGCGGAGGTTACAGTGAGCCAAGATTGCACCACTGTACACCAGCATGGGCAACAGAGACTGTCTCAAAAAAAAATGAAAAATAAACTAAAATTAAAATCGAAAAAAAAATAGGCAAGAAGAAGAGGTCAGCAAGGTTTGACTTTTCACAAATCATTAATTAAACAACTATCTACTGAATGTTTATACCAGATGCTGGACATCTTGCTAGTCGGAGGGTACAGCAGTAACATCTTCAACACGTAACTGTAGATAGACTGAATGCAAATGGAAGAATACGGTGGCATGGGAGGGAGCATACTGATGGGAAACTCTGGTTCCCAGGGCAGAAAACAGTTCCAGCAGGCTGGGTGCAGTGGCTCACACCTGTAATCCCAGCCCTTTGGAAGGCCAAGACAGGTGGATCACCTGAGGTCAGGAGTTCGAGACCAGCCTGGCCAACGTGGAGAAACCTTTTCTCTACTGAATGTACAAAACTAGCTGGGCATGGTGGCGAGTGCCTGTAATCCCAGCTACTGGGAGCTGAGGCAGAAGAACTGCTTGAACCCAGAAAATGGAGGGTGCAGTGAGCCAAGATTGTGCCACCACATTCCAGCCTGGGCAACAGGGCGAGAGTTCATCTAAAAAAATAAGTGAATAAAAAAGAAAACAGGTCGAGCAGAAGCTCTGTAGTTGATGAGCTCCATGACCCTGGGTACATTACGTAACTCTTTCACAAGTTTGAGTCCATGGGGTACATAATAATAGTATCTTTGGCCAGCACAGTGTCTCACGCCTGTAATCCCAGCACTTTGGGAGACCGAGGCGGGTGGATCACCTGAGGTCAGGAGTTCGAGACCAGTCTGGCAACATGATGTAACAGTCTCTATTAAAAATACAAAATTATAAACTGGTTATTCTAGTTTAGACAAAAAGAAAATGGAAAAAAAGAGAAAAAATAATAATAAAAATAAAAATACAAAATTAGGCGGTGCATGCCTATAATCCCAGCTACTTGGGAGGCTGAGGCAGGAGAATCACTTGAACTTGGGAGGCGGAGGTTGCAGTGAGGTGAGATGGCACCATTGCACTCCAGCCTGAGCAACAAGTGAAACTCTCTCAAAAATAAATAAATAAATAACAAATAATAATAATAATAGTGCCTTCACCTCACAGGACCATTCTGAGGAACAGATGAGATAATCCATCTCAACAACAGTGCCCAGCGCAATGCCAAGCACCCTAAAAGCACTATGACAATTAGCACAGTGTCTGGCCCACAGTAAGCAACTGACCATCCACCGCAAATTACTGCTGTCCTGGAAGTTAAATCCTGGCTACTGGCCACACGCTGGACAAGGGAAACTTCCAGAGCATTTTCTGGGTTCCAGGTTCTGCTCTGGGGTTCCTCTACTACAGTTCGGGTGCCCCTGGCTGTCACTGCCACCACTTATCCAGGAGCAGAGGGCAGACCGCCATCATGGGCTGTTGAGGTTGCACTCTCACCTGAGCTGCTGGGAAGAGATGTTCCTTGTCCACCTGGGCTGCAATGGGAAATAATTCCTTCTCCGCAAAGTCCCGGCACGTCTGACGCAACATCTGGTGTGTCTCAGGCAGTTCCACAGACTGGTAAATGGTGTGTAACTGCCGCCAGTCTCTAGGATGGAGAGCTGTCAGCAAGGGCAGAAGTCAGTGGAAGGAGAAGGCATGAGATCTCCAAGAATACTAGTGGCCCACTGACTCAGTGGTTCTCCACCAGGGAGGATTTTGCCCTCCAAGGGACATCTGGCAATGTCTGGAGACAATTTTAGTTGTCACAACTAGAGGAGGGGAATGCTATTCGTACCCAGTGGATAGGGGTCAGGGATCCTGATGAACATCCTACGAGGCACAGGACAGTCCCCACAACAAAGAACTGTCCCCAAAGAACTGTTGGCCCAAAATGTCCACGGCTGCCACTGAAAACCCCATATTAATTGAATGCTTAGTATACTCACTAGACATTTTCATACACTCCATCCTTCAGTCCTCAATATAATGCCAATAGTAATAAGACCTCAGCTCTGTGGCCTGAGGCAAGGCTTTTAAACTTCACTGAGCCTCCTTTACTATAACAAGTGGAGGACAATAGTATTCAGCTCCTAGGAGTGGGAAGATTGAAGAGAGACTAACTAGCACTTAGCAGAGTTCTCAGTAAGGGTTCCCCTTGTAATTCAGGCCAGGCAAAGGAAGCCCTGGCCATAAGTGGCACAGTTGCTACAGCTGGAGACACATAAGATAGGAAAGGTACTGTATTAACCAGCAAGAACATTTATGGAGCACCTGTTACATGCCAGGCGCAAAGTGCTTTACACACCCTGTGATTTAATCCTCCCAACATCTCTGATTTTCCCTGTGGACATTTTACACATAGGACAAATGAGGCTGAGAGGGCTGCCTTGCCCAAGGTCACAGATGCGGATCTGATTCAATCCCAGGCCTGGCTCCGGAAGAAGGGCACACCCTGAACCCCTACTGGGGGTGTAATGAGGGGAGGGAGGTGTGGATGCAGTCGTAAGAAATGGGCGGGCGGCGGGGGTCAATCCAGGAGTAGCGGTCCGTGCCGGAGCCAGGGAGCCCTGAAGGGCCGGGCTGGGCCGACGCGAGCAGCAGCACAACTGGGGCAAAGGCCGCGCGCGCTCCTGGAGCGGGCAAAAGCCGGCGGTCAGGACCTCTGCCTGCTGGGCCAGCCGTGGGCCGCAGCCCCGCCGTGCGGAGCCCGAGCGCACTCACCTCTGCGAACAGGGCCAGAGGCCCGGGTGAGGAGTGCGACGGCCATGGGTGACAGAAAAGGTTCTGAGGTTCTCCTCCGCGACTTCCCGCAGCTAGCGCGCGGTTCCGGACTGCAGGGGCGGGACTCGGGGCAGAGGCCACGCCCCTGGGGCCGCGAGGGAGGGGCCGAGGCGCGCCCTTGCCCCGGGGGCGGGGCCACCAGTAGTCCCTCCGGAGGCGAAACACCCACGCCGTTGGTGCCCTCATTCGTTAATCAAAATGTCAACAAAACAAAGCTAAGGACAGAGCCTCGCAGAGATGCCAGAGAGGTCTTTTAAAATAAGATGGCGATCTTCGGCTTAAAACTTTGTTGGCTTTGTCGGCGGGCCCACCTCTCCTAAAATCCAATTCTATGGCTTGAAGAGCCAAGACCTGCCCTATCAGGGCCCATGTCCGCCGTTCCCTGGTTATTGTTGCTCAGCTTTATGAGGTAGCTTTTCTCTAAGACCCTTAGCTGGTTCGTGACTCGGGGCTTCTGTGATCACTGTTCCCCTTGTCTGGAATGCCCCCTCTTCATTCAGATGTCGTGGAGGCCTACCCTGACCACACCAGGCCTCCCCCATCGGCTATCTTTTGTTCTGTTTATTAAAGGCACTTTGCATCTGAAATTATCTGCTCCCCCACTTGCTCCAAGAAGCTTAAGGACTTTGTCTTGCGTTGGTGCTCAGTATTTAGGCCTCTGGCGTTGTGTTGCAAGGGAAGGAGCTTTCTTTTCCCCAGAGGATAAGGTGGGTGGTACTGCTCTCTGTTCCACTTCAGTCCTGTCGACCTCACTCCCGATTGGGGCAGAGCCACACTTTTGAGCCCTAGCATCTTCATCAGGATCGCCCTGCCCAAGAAGCTACGTTGATTTTACTTGTCCCAGAAGGGTCTTATCTTGCACAAATGTGATTCTGACTCCCATAGCGCCTGGCACCACCCACACCCTCCCAGGAACCCACACATCCCTCTAACTGCCTCTTTCCTAACACTCAGCCAGGCATCTGTTCCCAGCATTGACCTATTTGCCAAAAATTCTGTCTCTTCCTCTTGGAGGAAAGTAGAAACCTCAGTTTACCTCCTAGAGGAGAGCCAATCAAAAGATACAGCAAAGTCCTTAATGTGTTACCTTTCATTTTAAATAATGCATTTAAAAGAAAGCCTCTAAATTCTCAGTACTTTAATGAATGGCTGTCATTGGCACATGCTCTGAGGGCTTCCTCACCTTTCAGTCATCCCACCTGGTATCAGCCCTGGGTAGAAGAAACCGTGAAACAGCAGGAGAAAAGAGAGAAATAAGTGAGTTGTGTTTGTGAGCAGAGGCCAATAATAATTGCTTCAGGTGCCAAAGAGCATCTAAACCAGATTCTTATCTGAGAACTGTTTGTGACTGTAAATATGAATGTAAAATTTCATTTTAAAAGCATCCAAGTTTTCCTGTAGAGACAGAATCAGATAATGGTTGCAAGAGGCTGAGGTGGGGGAAGGGACCTGGCTGCAAACACAAGGAACTCAGGTACTTTCTGGGTGGGTATGATGGAAATGTCCTATATCATGACTGTGATGGGGTAATAAGACTATTCATTTAACAAAATGCATCAATACTCTTAAGTGAGGTGAATTTTGCTGTAGTTCAAGTATTCCTTAATAAGTCTACCTTTATGGCTGGACACAGTGGCTTACACCTGTAATCCCAGCACTTTGGGATGCTAAGGGGGGCAGGATCAGGAGTTAAGACCAGCCTGGCCAACACAGTGAAACCCTGTCTCTACTAAAAATATAGAATTAGCCAGGCATGATGGCGGGCACCTTTAGTCCCAGCTACTAGGGAGGCTGAGGCAGGAGAATCACTTGAACCCAGGAGGCGGAGGTTGCAGTCAGCCATCACTTGTGCTCTTTGCCCAGTTTGGAGTGTGATGCCACCATCATGCCACTGCACTCCAGCCTGGGCAAAAAGAGCGAAATTTTGTCAAAAAAAAAAAAGCCTACCTTTAAAACATGCATGTAAACTTTCAGTTCACAAAACCACTCACTCTGGTAAAATATAAAGCAAAAATACTAAACCTAAATTACAGTACAATTCCCTAATCACCCTAGAAGCCAGCTATACTGTAGCTAAACTACTTACAGAAGGGCCAAATAATAGCCGAAATAAGAGACACTTGGAGACCTCACCCCACACCTGCACCCCACAAGGGGAGACAAATCAGGAGACAGGATAAGGGAGACGTACTGTGAAAATCTTTCTTTTATTACTGTCTCTTGTGGCAAAATAACATTTTACACAAATAAGTCACCTAGTTTACTTTGGACACAAAGACAATAAAAACTGGAATGTGGATCTTGGGTGAAGTGGGGAGCAGGAGGAAGGACAGATCAGGTCATTGATGTTTCTTATATTCTGTAAAAAATAGATTTACAGGAAAAAAAAAAATAGACTTTTACAACTTCAATGACTTTACACAGTCCTTTGTAAAACAAGCGGTAAATCCACCTCCAGCAGATCCTTCTTCAGGCTGAGATGTTCCATGACATGGAATGTGAGTAACACATGGTTCAATGATTAGGCTCCTACATCAGGTACAGCAGCACCTTATGCCACAGGAATCCTCATGCACTGGGACAAGTCTGTCCTGTGAACTTCTGGACAGTGTCCTCACCCCCAAACCTCACTGATATCATAGTGACACTGGGCATCAGAAGAAAGTAACTTTACAGAGGGGAAAAAAGAATATGCTGGAAACCTAGCGGTGGGGCAGGACACGCTAAGGCAGGACTCACCCAGTTTGTACATTAGACACAGCCTATTAAATCCACCCCAGAATGAGTTCTACTTCAACTGAAAACATAAACTGACAATTGCCCAATCACTGCCATTTCACGAATTTCCAGTTTATGGTCAGCCCCAGATCACATTCTTCCATCCTATGTATTGCAAATCAAACAGCCCAAAGACTGAGGTGTCTTCAGGAAGTACATGCTGAAAAAATGCTTTCTCTCCAAAATAGTATTGAGCTAATACATAAGGAGACAACAGCCTACTCCAGCTCAAAACCTCTTTTACTTGTTATGTCCTCTGTTTAACTTTTAAAACATAGAATGAAATAAACTAGGATCTTCTTTGGAGAAGCTAGAAAGGCATCTTGGCCCAAAGGCTGTACAGGAAAAGAGGCCCTCTCCAGGAGACTGCAAGGCAGAGGAACAGAAGCAAGAGGGGAAGGGGTGAGGGGGCAAGCCCTGTGGCAACAGGTGGGCCTGCTATTCTGAGGAAATGTGCTCCCACCTCCTGACAGAGGGCAGGGCCCCCTATGCAGGTAGTTTTTCTTCTCCCTCCCATTTTATCACCCACAAGATAACGATTCCTTAATAACATGGCAGCCTGACTGGTTCTGTTACTTTCAGAGAAAGTATGCCTTGCAATTTTTTCTCCCCAGCTCAGGTAACAAAGAAAAGACTTGAATTTCAAACTCATCCTGGTTAACACCCCAGAGTGGGAATGCTTCTCAAGATTTCCTGAGCAGCTAGGCACAGGAACCCAGAGCCCCAGATACAGAACACCAGACTTTCAGGAGTAATAAAGCCCTGTCCTGCTGGGCATGGACCAAGCACTGTTTGCAAATGGTCTCCAGCGAGACTAAGGCAAGCTAACAAGGAAGAGGATACAGCACAACACAAGCCAGATTGCCCACCTCCTCCTTCCTCCAGGTCCTCTTCCTAGCAAAAGCAAACACTGCAGATAAGAGCTAGCCCACTAGAGTACTAGATACAGTCTGCCCAGGGGCATGTTTCCAAGACACACTCTACTGAGCAGAGCTCTGGGTAGCTCCAGAACCATATCCCAGATAATGTTCAAATATCAAATAGTAAAAACTCACCACCTGGGCCTCTGTCAAAGAGAGAAGGGACTGTTGTTAAGCTTGACAGGAACATGCAAATCCCATTTGAGGAGCCACAATGAAAAACAGAAGGTGGGGAGACAGTGCTAACTGTGCTGACATCTGCCAATGAGGAGGTGGGAACAATGGCTATGCAGCTTTTCCCAGCAGCATAAGGGACAGAGCCACACATAAGGCACCTGGATTTACAATGGACGCCAGTTCTGAGTGTGGCCGGTCTGGTGATAAGAAACCCATTCCACAGGGTGCATGATCTCTTCCCTCTCTCAGGGCTGAGTCCAATGCCAACACATGGGGGTAAGCTAAGACCTTCTCAGTGAGAAAGCTGCCAGCATGTGGCATCGCCAAGACTCTGGCCTGGTACAAAGCACTGGGTCAAGGTTCAGGGCCACTCACTCTAGAGCCCACACAGGGAGCAGCTCTGGTGGTGGATATGCAGGAACTTCTGTGGCTACGTGCTGTCTCTTTTGTCCCTGGCCCCCATACAGCTTTTCTCCCAAGCACTTTGGGACGCAGCTCTCCTGTCACAGGTACTGTTACACCTAACAGTCACTTACCAGATACCTGGGTCTTTCCTAGGGACATTCTTCTACTGATGTTAACTGGACCCTGACCACATCAATCATCTCATCAGAGGGTCGTGAAGTCTGTCCACTAAGGGTCTGAGGACAAAAGCAGCCCGCAGATGTGCAAGGGAACTTTTATGAGAAGACATCACTCTGACAGGCCACCTCAGCCTATTTCACCCTTTCTGAATACCTAAAACAATTCTAACTACAGTTTGAAGCATCAGATTGCATTATGTAGCTCTGATCCACCAGGATAGTTCCAGAAACTACTTCAGTAGAAAGGTAGATAGGAAAACCCCCCCAAAACAGAAATCTACAAAGAGCTTTGGAGGCAAATCCCCATCAAAAGCCAATCCTCCAGGCTGCGCAGTGCAGAGAAAAGTCAAATCTCTCCGTTAGAAACCTGCGGCTGATTTTTAAACATATCCTCCCAAACATAAGCCAGATTAGCCCCAGGAAGCTGATTAATACAATCACAAGTCTAACCACGTATCACATATGCTGGGAACACCAGTCATTTTATAAAACCTCCCCAAAAGAAGTCTGGAAATAAACAAAATTCAAGTCTTGCTCTCTGGCCTCAAGATACTACTGTTCTGTGAGCAGAGCTGACACGTTCTATTTCATAAGAGACTCAGAAGGGAGGAGCCAGGAGAAGCGGAGCAAGCTTATCTGTCCTCCAAAATGAGAACAGAAGGCACTGCCAGGCTGAAACCTTGGTCTATCCTCTGGAGGGCTGGCTGAGGACCCTGGAGGTGAGATGAAGCAGCAGCCTCTCCACAAAGCAGATCCTTCAGTTTGGCACATCCCCATTTCTTGGTGCCTCCACTCTTGGAGCCTTACCACCCCCGACCCTTTCAAGTTTCTTCCAGTTGGCGTAAGACTTCGCACAGACCAAGGGCAGACTGTGCTGATGGCAACTCCAGAGGGAAGAGGAGGAGCTACCTGGAAGAGGCCTACCTCTTGGCTTCCCACAGCACCCAGGAACCTCAAGAGCTGCAGACCTGCCAGTAGGCCTGGCCGGAGCCTTCTCACCAGGCACAGCTATGCCTGGAGAGACAAAGCGTTCGTCAAGACAACCAACAGGCAGCCAGAACTACAGAAAAATAAAACTTTTTTTATCTGGATTCCAGGAGCTTTATCCTAACTTTTTACTTTACTATAGTACCTCTGAGACCTAAGGGACAGGGGGGAAAAAAAGGGAAGAAAAAATACTGGGGAAGAAAACACAGCACTATTTGGCACCTCCTTTGGCACATAGGAAACTTCCACCCCAGCCTTGGCTTCCTGGGGCCAGGTTCCAGATGTGTGTTGACAAACTGCAGCTTCAATCGCCTCTGTGTGCCAGGATCTTGTGGCCGCAGCAAAGCACCTCCCCTGTCTACTCCTGCAGCACTTACTGGCCTCCGTTATAGGCATAATCAGCCTTGTTGTGCATTATCAGCTTGTTGTCAACAAAGTAGAAGCTGTCAGAGCGGGTCTCGTAAGGATTTTCAATCATCAGACGAACTGCAAGTCAGGCAAAGGGGAAAAAAAAAGCAAAGAATTATGTTTGAGTCTGCCGCACAGGGTAGGTGGCAGAAAACTTTGTATCCCCTCCAAAATAAGCCAGCACTTCAGAGTATACTCTGCCAGAATAACGATGAGGACCGAACAGAGTGAGCCAGCTCTTGACAGCTGGAGAGACCAGAGGCCCCCAAACTGAACACAATCTGCATTTCAACATAAGGACGCAATCAGCTCTCCACCATGGCCTCCTCCGTCATCGCCAGCCTGGATTTTTCAGCTAAGACGCCAGGGAAATGTGCTCACCCTCTTGCTAACATGGACCCCTCCAACCTATTTACTCAGTGCTCCCAGCTGACTGAAGCAAGCCCTGACCTCTGGTCAATGGCCCACCTCTGGATATTCCAGTCCAAATTCAGAAATCTGAGCCTCACTATGCCCACCTCCCACAAGCACCCCTGACAACCCAAGGAATCCTAGGTGGGAATGAGCGCAGGGAACACAGGGCAGGTAGCCTTCTCTGGAGACCTTTTGGATATTAACTCGCAAATGATCCAGCAATAGGTCTGCTTGTCTTGGAATCTAAATTGAAGTCTTCCGTTTGTTCAGGCAATTGCCCAGACCTCTTTAACCATACTGGAGGGTAAAGATAATTAATAGTCACTACAGCTGATCAGTTTTGAGTTAATGATTACATGGCATTTTAAGTCCCCTGGAGGAAGTGCTGTTATTCATCACAGTTCTCGAAAAGTGAAACTGATTTTTTAAAGTTCTTTGATCCCACCAATGCCAAAACTATTTGGTTTATATGCAGAATATTGCCCTCCAAGCTGATTTGGCTTCATGGGTAAAACTTGTAACACTATACATAATCTTTTCTTGCAAGTATGTACATATTCCAGCCAGCTTGGGGAGAGGGGTTCAAGTCAGAATCAGATGCTGTCATCAACACACTGCCCCACATCTCAGCAATCCTCATTTTACCTGGGAACTGCACTGCCACACACGTATAGGGTACATGGCTTTCAGAATTTGACAATTCTTAAGGAACTGGGATTCTGAGAGGACCAATCAGTGGATCCTCCCCAACAAGGCAACTGAAGGCATCACTAGTCACAGGATTCCATTCGCACCCTCATAAATGCCCTGAATTTTCCCTAACTATTCCCAGAGGATGCTAACCTGAGATGGCTAGGGCAAAGTCACAGAAATTGACAAGGCCTGGGGATGGGGTGTCACAGGCCTCCTTTTATCTCCCTTAGGCACTGTCTTCCCACAGGAGGCATCTAAAAGAAGGGCCTGTATTATTAAAACCTTCAGGCTGGGCACGGTGCCTCACACCTGTAATTCCAGTGCTTTGGGAGGTTGAGGCGGGCGAATCATGAGTTCAGTTCGAGACCAGCCTGACCAACATGGTGAATGCCTGTCTCTACTAAAAATACAAAAATTTAGCCAGGCATGCTAGCAGGCACCTGTAATCCCAGCTCCTCAGGAGACTGAGGCAGGAGAATCACTTGACGGAGGAGGTGGAGGTTGCAGTGAGCCAAGGCTGTGCCACTGCACTCCAGCCTGGGCAACAGAGCCAGACTCTGTCTCAAAAAAAAAAAGCGGGGGGCCAAGCACAGTGGCGCACACCTCTAATCCCAGCACTTTGGGAGGCTGAGGTGGGCAGATCACGAGGTCGAGTTCGAGACCAGCCCGGTCAACATAGTGAAACCCTGTCTCTACTAAGAATACAAAAATTAGCTGGGCATGGTGGCGCATGCCTGTAATCCCAGCTACTTGGGAGGCTGAGGCAGGAGAATCGCTTGAACCTGGGAGGCAAAGGTTGGAGTGAGCCGAGATCGCACCACTGCACTCCAGCCTGGGCAATAGAGTGAGACTCGTCTCAAATTAAAAAAAAAAAACAAAAAACCTTCATTGCTCCCATACAAGCAGAGTCAGACTTTGAAACAGGAGCCAGGAGCAATAGGAAATGAGAAGCCTGAGGTCAAATGACTAGATACGCATCATGTCACCACTGCCATGTGACAAAGCCTGGGCACTTGACCAGGTGGGTTTCAAGGTTTATTCCTTGTAGCCCTCAGAATCAAGAATGCTGTAAGAGTCAGGGGATACATACTGACATCCTCCGAAAGCTGGGGAAACTCATAGATATGTTCACAAGTGTTCCTACTGCTGGGGATGCAGAAGCCAAAATCAAAGTCAAAGTTTTTCAGCAAGTGTTCCCGGAAATAGTGCCGTTCGATCATCCGGAAGTTTGACACAGGTTTGTCTCCCACTGTGAACTCCACCCTGGAAAATAAATCTCTGTGAGCCCGAATTTGTCTCCTCCCACCTCTAAAGCCAACCCAAAACCCAACCGAAAACATTCTTCTCTGTGAACAAACAGAATGCTCTTCCCTCAGGTAGCAATGGCACTCACGTAGCCCCGACCGTCCGGAGGCGGAGAAATGCCGGTGTGAACTGGTAACGAACAAAACGTCCTGCACTGTTGTCTACGTCTCCACCTCCTTCCTCCTCATCCTCCTCCTGGTCTGAAAGAGCACACAGAATCTTCAGTGCACTGTCTCGGCATTCTCAATCCAAGAGTTCTACCCGCAGTACCAACAGCACAATGGCAACCAGTTCCCAGTAATCACACCAACAAGAAGGATGGCCAACGTTTATTGCGCACTTGCTATATGTCAGGACACTTGCCACAGGGCAGACTCATAACAACACTGCAAGGTGTTACTATCTCCATTTTACAGATCAGGAAGCTCAAGTTCAGAGAAGTCAGGTAACATGTCTGAAGTCCCTCAAACGGTAAGAGGAAGGAACAGGGATTTAAATCCAGGTCCATCTGACTCAAGGGTTGTTCTCCAACACTAAGTTGTTAGCCTTTTTTTTAAAAAAAAAAATAATTTGGGGGCTTATGCCATAACCTAAGGGTGAAGGCTGAAACACAAGCTGGGATCAGGGCACCTGACATGGTCTATATTATACACTCTAGGTCTGTAGCTGACCAAGTTGAAGCGCCTGCCACTAACCTAAAAGAATGAGACTACAAAAGTTGACACTTGTCGGCCAGGCATGGTGGGCTCATGTCTGTAATCCCAGAACTTTGGAAAGCTGAGGCAGGCAAATCACCTGAGGTCAGGAGTTCGAGACCAGCCTGGCCAACATGGTAAAACCCATCTCTACTAAAAATATAAAAATTAACCAGGCATGGTGGTGGGCGTCTGTAATCCCAGCTACTCAGGAGGCTGAGGCAGGAGCTGCAGTGAGCCATGGGGGCACCATTGCACTCCAGCCTGGGCAACAAGAGTGAAACTCTGTCTCAAAAAAAAAAAAAAAAAAAAAGTTGACACGTATCAAAAAGTTCTTCCAATGAATATAAAGATTTCTGGCAGACATGCAAAGATAAATCACTAGAAATACTTTTGTTATTTAAGTAGAAGACACTGACCTACAGCCTTGGGATACTGGAGTTCCTTGACTGATGTCTATTTCTAGGCCATATCAGACCTAACCCTTACCACCTGGGAAAGGGTGAAGCAGATGTGGGGGCCCCTACAAGGTTAATGCTGGTCTCCGGTTTAGTCCATTCCTGAACCCAGGAGATGAAAGATTTGTAAAATGAATCAGAGAACAAGCATTCTAATATGAATAGGGGTTAGTACCCACCAGTGTCCAGTGAGGATATTTTCTCCAGGTCTAAGCTGTACATGAGTACAACATAAGAGAAGTCTTTTTCAGCATCAAACATCTCTGCCTTTGACAACCCCAAGAGCGACTGGGCAACCAGGCTGAGTAGGGGTTCACACCCAGAGACTCTAGAACCCTGGCTCCAACAATAGACTGAGAGAGCAAATCTTGGGGATTCAAGTTCATCAGAACAAGTGCTGCAGGAAGGTACTGATTTCAGTGTGAGGATATTCTTTTTTATATTTTATTTATTGACTTATTTTAAGATAGGGTCTCACTCTGCCAACCTTGCTGAAGTGCAATGGAGTAATCACAGCTCACTGAAGCCTTGATCTCCCAGGCTCAAGCAGCCTCCTGAGTAGTGGGATCACAGGAATGTGCCACGAAGCCTGGCTAATTTTTTGGTATTTTTTGTAGAGATGGGGTTTCACCATGTTGCCCAGGCTGGTCTCAAACTCCTGGGGCTCAAGTGACCTGCCAGCCTCAGCCCCCCAAAGTGCTGGAATTACAGGCATGATCCACCGCACCCAGCCTCAACGTGGGGATAGTCAAGTGAATCAAGATCCTTAAATGTAAAAACTAGAGAGACTGAACATCAAGATACTTTACAGTATCTTCAGTTGAATGAACTTCTTGGAAACGTTCTGTCTTATACTGAAATGACAACTCTGAATCTAATCCAAACCCACAAACCTGTAGTAGGCCTGGAGTCCTTGAAATGTCCCAGGTACTGGGATATGTGGCTTAGGAATGAGAACACCACAGACCCAGGAAACTAGCTGGTCCTGATCTGACCATCCCAATAAAAAACTACCCACAAGCTTGAGCCTTTAGGAGCACTAGTCAGTATTAGATTATGAAAGCATAAATACCACCAGGTAGGGGTAAAATCAGGGCCTTATCAAATTTGCAGGCTCTTTCTGAGTGGCAAATCAGACGAGATACACTTATTAAAATAAGTTTACAAACCCCGCTGACATTACTGGTATCTGTACCAGTGTTCTAACAAATGACTAGCTCCAGGGGGCGCTAAACCTCCAATGAGGTGCTCCAAAGGTTTCCGTGGTCCCCTGGCCAGAATGAATCACCCTGACACTGTATCACAAGCCCGGCAAGCGGCTGCTGGAGGCAAATTTAAGGAACTCCAAGTAGTTGAGTTCCTGGGTCTGTTCCTTCAGAAAATGGTCAAGATTAAAATCCAAACCAGGACTTATTGGGAAATCCATGGCACTATGTAAAGGAGAGTGAGAAGATGGCTCAAACTGCCTCATGTCTGGACTGGAATCTTTCCTATCACCCTCCAAGAGGGCTCTAGGCTCAGGTGAGTTTTCCTCATTATAGCTTAATTTCAAGGATTTCTCTCCCAATTAGAGGCAACATGATAAGATGAACAAGCACAGGACCTTAGGCAAGTGCTGCTTGGGGATTCTAGGCCTCAGATCCTTCGCTGTAAAATGGAGATAACAGTAACTCCTCACAGGTGTGAGGATTACATACACTGATGTGCAGAAAAATGTGGAACACAGTGACCAGCAGAGACATTCAACAAGCATCAGCCTCTGAACGCAGCTTCAAACCAGGCCATGGGAAGAAGTCATAGAAGTGGGACACAGTGGAGTCCAAAAAACAGGATACAGTGGCACACAAAGATTTGAGTTTCAAAGACCTTTGGCTCGAAACCAATGTCTAGTGGTCACTACAACATTGAGGCCTACCTGAAACGCAAGGTTTGGCGATCTCAAAAAGCACTGTCCCTGTCTCCAAATCTCGAATTTTGAAGCGGGTGAAATCAATACTGTAGATGTTGTCTTCAGGTTTACATAAATAATCTGAAAATGAGAGAGAGAGAAACCAATACTGTTAAATAATCCTCCAAAACTACCATTTTTTTAATTCTCAAGTTTTGAAGCAAACTCAGATTTTTTCTTACCCAATACACTTAAAATACTCCCAAAAACTTTCTCTTGTGTTATCGTTAGCAGAAGTCATATAAACAGAATTAGGGGATCCAACAAAGAAAAAAAAGAACAAGGACTTGCTTTGGATGAAAACTTACAAAACTGTTAGAACTAGGATAGAAGGCTGGGTGCAGAGGCTCATGCCTGTAATCCCAGCACTTTGGGAAGCCAAGAAGGGCAGATCATGAGGTCAGTTCAAGAAAGCCTGGCCAATACGGTGAAACCTTGTCTTTACTAAAAATACGAAAATTAGCCAGGCATGGCGGCGTACACCCAGCTACTTGGGAGGCTGAGGCAGAACAATCGATTGAACCCAGGAGGCGGAGGTTGCAGTGAGCAGAGAACGCACCACTGCACTCCAGCCTGGGCAACAGAGCGAGACTGTCTCAAAAAAAGAAAGAAAGAAACTAGGATAGAAAAGGGGGATTTCTTTGGAAACACCTAAAAATCTTTCATTATCTATCAAGTTGGATATCACAACAGGGCAGAACTTTGTATGGAATTCCAATCTAAAACATTTAAACTGACTTAGCAGATAATACAGTGCTAGTTTGCCAACTGTCAGTGTAAGAGAGCCGAGATCAGCAAATTTTTCTGTAAAGAGCCAGATTCTAAATAATTTAGGCTTTGCTGCCACATGGTCTCTGTCACAACTACTCAACTCTGTCACTGTAGCCACACATCCACAGACAACACGCAAATGAATGACTGTGGCTATATTCCAATAAAACTGTATTTATGGACACTGACATATGAATTTTACATAACCACGTGTTACAAGATTTTAAAGTTTTTTTCAACCACTTAAAAATGTACAAATCTTTCTTAGTTTGTGGGCTACACAAAATCATACAGTAGACCATACATATCCAGGCAACAGGATAAAGCTGCTGGTGAAGGCATTAGGCCCAAATAAGTAGATGTAACAACCTGAGCAGCTAATTCAAATAATACTGATCACAGCAAATTTCACTGATTTCTTTCCAGGATGATTCCAGATAGCACCTTTTCCACAACTCATTTTGATGCTTTATCTTTTATAGCCTGAGCTAGTTGTTTTCGTGTTTTACAAGTAAGTTGTCTTTTTTATTTTTTTTATTTTGGACACAGAGTCATGCTCTGTCGCCCAGGCTGGAGTGCAATGGCATCATTTCTGCTCACTTTGCCTCCTGGGTTTGATTCTCCTCCTCCCAAGTAGCTAGGAGTACAGGTGCGTGCCACCATGCCTGGCTAATTTTTGTATTTTTAGTAGAGACGGGGTTTCACCATGTTGGTCAGGCTGGTCTTGAACTCCTGACCTCGTGATCCACGTGCCTCAACCTACCAGAGTGTCCAGACTACAGGTGTGAGCCACCGCACCCAGCCACAAGTTGTCTCTTTAGTAAGATAGCAAGAGAACTTATTATTCTGTAACTGCTAAAAAGGCTAACATTGGCTTTGCACTCTTAGAGAGTACTCAAATAACCTGCTTGATAGAATGAACAAGACTTTAAGATGAGTAACAAAGAGGCTGCCAGGCTCTGACCTGTGGCTTTCTCCAAGAAGCTGCAGAGGTGGGTCTGGACAATGACCAACAATCCCAAGCCCCCAAACAGGACCCGAGTGCTCACTGAGAATGCTGCTTAGGGCCAGGAACAGAATACCCTAACTCACCTTTGATGGCAGGAGAGGGCATGAGGTTACCAAGACCAGGTGCTGAGCACTGTGTACTTTCAGAGCTCCAAATGAAAACTGGTTCAGATAAAAAAGCTTTTTCGAACTGTTGCAATAAAACTGAATAGCAAGAATGTCTAAAGGTACGTTCACGACTGCTAAAGACAGTCCCAACCCAAACAGTGCTAGGAAATGGGGGCATCCAAATACCTAGAATCAAATTAAAACTCTTTGAGATGAGAATTCCGTTTCGCGCAGGTGGACCAAAACTTCCATCCAAACTACTAGAGCTGCCATCAGCAACTTGGGGTGCACCTGAGCAGCCCTGGGCTGACTGGTATAGCAATTCAGACACCACGGCGGCCTTCGATTATCAGGGAATGCTGCCGCCGCCACAGGGTTAGGAGACTGAAGGGCGGGAGTAATGGGCAGGGCAAGATAGGCTTGTGACTGCACACTCCGGTTGGGGGGGGGGGTGGGGAGTGGCCGCAAGAGAAAAGACGTCAAGTCAGGGATTAGCTTGGCAGAGAACAAAAAACGGGAGGTCACCCAGGGCAGGGACTGGGCAATATTTTTCTTCCCACCCATCCTCCTATCAATGAAAAAGCTTAGGATGGTTGCCTTTTGTGCAGGAAACGCATTTCTGAAACCCTGAAATCATTTAATTCACGAGAATAAATGTCAAAAGCAGGATTCACATGTCGGAGTTTGTACACAAACTGAAACTTTATTTTTTGTTTTAATGTGGCACAGTTTTAAATGGGCAGGAAATGCCACGACCATGTGTTGTGGGTAAGAACCCACCTGCACACTAAGGCGCAAGGCTTCGGACCCAAAGAGGGAGGGAGGCACGGCAGGCTGCAACGGGGGAGGGCGGCAATGGGGCCGGGGCGGAGGAGGCAGGTAGGGCTTCTGGCCTGCCAGGGAGCTGCAGAGCTGGGGCAGACCGGCTGGGGGCGCCTGGCTGAACGGGAACTTCGCGGATGGCCGGGGTTCCAGACTGGGGGTCCAGGGGCCCACTTATTAGGGGACCTCGGCTCCCGGCCGGCTCAGGAGGAGCCGGTTCAGCTGACCCGGGCCCTCTACCCAAACAGGTCCGGCCGACCTGGGGAACCGACCGGCTGAGGGGCATCCTAGCGTGGCTGGACTCACAGGAACGCGGTCAAGTCCAGGAGAGCCCTTCCCCACCAGAGCTACGTGAGGGTGGCAGGGGCAGACCACGGCCGGCGGGGCAGCGGGAGGCGCGGCCTGACCGGCCGAGGGGGTCTGGGGAAACTCCTGCGCCTGTCGAGCGGCCGGATCCGCGGAAAGCTCCAGGAGCTGGGGCCCGGCGCGAGGGGAGGGCGCGGCCCGCGCGGCACTCACTCTCGGTGACCCGGCTGAGGCGCAGGACGTGCTCGGGCCGGATGGTGTCCAGCGCCAGCAGCTCCTGCTCCGTGACCGCTGCCCCGACGCCGTCATCGGCCGCGTGGTGGGACGCCTGCCGCCGCGCCTTCAGACGGTTCAGGACGCCGCCTCCCGCCTTTTTCTTCTCTTCCTTGCCAGCCACCAGCCCCCCGGGCCCAGCTGCCGACGCCGCGGCAGCAGCCTTCGGGTTCAACCCGCTCATCGCTCCGCCGCCAAGATGGCCGCCGCCTCCACAGCGCGGTAACTATGGAGAGCGGGGGCGGGGCCCAGGGCCTGGCGGCACCGGGGGAACGAGGCCCCGGGGCGGGAGTGGGCGGGGCCCGGGGCGGGGCGGGGCCCGGGGACGGGGCATCGGCTCTGCCCCAACTTTGGTCCTGCCAGGTAGAGGGCCTAAGGTTGCCTGGTCGCCCACGAGCTTTAAATGTATATGTTACGGTCAAATGAATTTACGTCATATAAACTTTCCTCCTCATCCTCCTCCTGTTCTGAACGAGCACACTGAATCTTCAGTGCACCATCTAGGCATTCTCAATCCAAGAGTTCTACCAGCAGTACCAACAGCACAATGGCAACCAGTTCCCAATAATCACACCAACAACAATGGCCAGTGTTTACTGTGCACTCGCTATATGGCAGGACACTTGCTATAGGGCAGACTCCTCACAACAAACCCTGCGAGGTATTACCATCTCCATTTTACAGATCAGGAAGCTCAAGTTCAGAGAAGTCAGGTAACATGTCTGAAGTCCGTCTAACAGTAAGAGGAGGGAACAGGGATTTGAATCCAGGTCCATCTGACTCAAGGCCTGTTCTTCAACATTAAGCTATTAGTGGACAATGCATGTTAAGAAAATGTTTATTGGCCGGGCGCGGTGGCTCACGCCTGTAATTCCAGCACTTTGGGAGGCCGAGGCGGGTGGATCACGAGGTCAAGAGATCGAGACCATCCTCGTCAACATGGTGAAACCCCGTCTCTACTAAAAATACAAAAAAATTAGCTGGGCATGGTGGCGCGTGCCTGTAATCCCAGCTACTCAGGAGGCTGAGGCAGGAGAATTGCCCGAACCCAGGAGGCGGAGGTTGCGGTGAGCCGAGATCGCGCCATTGCACTCCAGCCTGGGTAACAAGAGCGAAACTCCGTCTCAAAAAAAAATAAAATGTTTATTAATATATTTAGCATAGAAGGTAAGTTAAAATGGTGCTTGTTATGCAAAGGCAGCTTCAAGACAAACTTTCCAATGAGATTGCCATCCCTAAGCCCTACTGTGCCAGGCCCTGGGCTAGACATTGAGCTAGGTTACAGGAGATGTAAGAGGGCAGGAATTGGGTCTGCCTCACCCCTGAATTCCCAGCAGTTCGGCTAATGCCTGACACAGGGTAGGTGCTCAGTAATGGCTGAAGGACAGCCTGAACAGTATCCCACTATGGAGGAGCTCCCACTTTTGATATAATTCATTATGTGACCCTTCCTCTTCACAAGGCAGGTTAGTATGAACTGGAAGACAAACTAGCTCATTGCACTGTAAGAGATGCAGCAATGGTGCCAGGAATATACACAGGAGTGGTTTATTCTAATCTGGATGTAAGAGTCTGAAGGGTTGGGAAGATTTCACAGAGGCAACATCTGCACTGAGCCTTGGAAGTTAGCCATGACTTCACCAGCTGGCCAGAAGTGGGTCAACAGGGGAATGTGGTCTACCCTCTTCCACTCCAAGGGGTACCTTCTCTAGGGATTCTAGATCTGCACTGTTCTGTGTTGGAGGCCTGGACCTGACTGATGCAGCGTGTCTGCTAGGTCTGATGTCACTTCTCAGCCAGGTTAGAGTAAAATTGCAACCCTCCCCCAGTGCCTCCAGACGTTCTTCTCAGGCCTTGCTTGCTGAGTCCCTCTCACCAAAGCCACCAGAACAGGCCTCTCTTGGTTCCTGGACAAAGTCCAAACTTGACCCCACCCCAGCCACCCAGCTGTATGGCACAGTGTATGGCCAAATTCCTACCCAAATGCTGTACTGTCTTTGAGAGATTAGCATATGGTGGCATTTAACAAACTGTTCAGGGAGGTTTTTTTTTTGAGACGGAGTCTCACTCTGTTGCCCAGGCTGGAGCGCAGCGGTGCAATCTCAGCTCACTGCAACCTCCGCCTCCCAGGTTCAAGCAATTCTCAGGGAGATTTTAATAAATGTGTACAAAGAATTAAAGTCTTTCCTTTTGCAAACAACTCTTTCAAAACCACTCAACAGAGAGTGGTTACTGAAGAATTTCCAGAACTTTTAATATGCTACTTGATTGTGAGTGGCCAAGAGGGTGGTTTAGCATGTGGCCATTTCCCATATACTTGTTCATGGAAGCTTTATTCTCAGAGCAACAAGACTAGTTAGGTGGACCCTGGCTTTTCTCTTTCTAGGGATGATGGCAAATGTAACCTCTTCACCTGCAAGTCCACATCCAGGAATTTACCCTACATGCATGCACAGAGATTTATAATATTGACAATTTATAATAAATTACATTTGTATCCATTCATGTTGCACAGAGCTGTTTTAAAAAATGAGATATATATATATATTAGTATGGAAAGATATCAAACATATATTAAGTGGGGCAACAAGCAAGGCACAGAATCCTATTTATTTATTTATTTAAAACAGGGTCTCACTCTGTCACCCAGACTGGAGCGCAGTGCCGCAATCACAGCTCACCACAACCAGCCAAGAACTCCATTTATTTAAAATAAAAAGTATAGGCTGGGTGTGGTGGCTCACACCTGTAATCCCAGCACTTTGGGAGGCCAAGGCGGGCAGATCACGAGGTCAGGACTTCCAGACCAGCCTGACCAACATGGTGAAATCCTGTCTCTACTAAAAATACAAAAATTAGCTGGGCATGGTAATGCGCATCTGTAATCCCAGCTACTCAGGAGGCTGAGGCAGGAAAATCACTTGAAGCTGGAGGCGAAGGTTGCAGTAAGCCAAGATCGCACCACTGCACTGCAGCTTGGGAACAGAGCAAGACCCTGTCTCAAAATAAAATAAAATAAAATAAGTATATAAATATATAGATGTGGGCCAGGTATGGTGGCTCATGCCTGTAATCCCAGCACTTTGGGAGGCCAAGGTGAGCAGAATGCTTGAGCCCAGGAGTTCAAGACCAGCTTGGGCAACATGGCAAAACCCTGTCTCTACTAAAAATACAATAATTAGCTGGGTTTGGTGGTACATGCCTATAGTCCCAGCTACTCAGGAGGCCGAGGTGGGAGAATCACCCGAGCCCGGGAAGCCAAGGCTGCATGAGCCGTAATTGTGCCAGTGCACTTTAGCCTGGGCCATGGGAGTGAGACCCTGTCTCAAAAAAAAAAAAAAAAAAAGACAGATAGACATAGATACAGATATAAATGTGTATTTGTAATTATAAAGGAAGAGGTCTGGATATACATTAAAACATTAACCTTGATTACTTCTGGAGAGGAGAGTATCAGATGGGGCTAAAGGAAATATATTCACTTTGACATGATTTAGAGCTACTTCTATACTATTTTATCTCAAGCATATAATTATGGGCTGGTTGTATACTTTCTAAAAAGAAAATACCAGCCGGGCACGGTTGCTCACGGCTGTAATCCTAGCATTTTGGGAGGCCCCAGCAGGCGGATCACAAGGTCAGGAGTTCAAGACCAGTCTGACCAACATGGTGAAACCCCATCTCTACTAAAAATACAAAAATTAGCAGGGCTTGGTGGCACGTACCTGTAGTCCCAGCTACTGAGGAGGCTAGGCAGGAAAATCATTTGAACCTGGAAGGCAGAGGTTGCAGTGAGCCGAGATTATGCCACTGCACTCCAGCCTGGTGACAGAGTAAGACTCAATCTCAAAAAAAAAAAGAAAAGAAAAGAAAATACCTTTGGATCTGTGTTGGGAAGTCAGACTCTATGCCAGAGTTGCCCTATTTTCTTTTAAAATTTAAAAGCAACCTCAAACTTAATCAACATTTTCTGTTTTGTTTTTTAAGATGCATCTCACTCTATCGCCCAGGCTGGGGTGCGGTGGCCCGATCTTGGCTCACTCAACCTCCGCCTCCCGAGTAACTCAGATTACAGTCTTGCGCCACCAGGCCTGGCTAATTTTTGTATTTTTTTGTTTTTTTGAGATAGAGTCTCACTCTGTCACCCAGACTAGAGTGCAGTGGTGCAATCTCAGCTCACTGCAACCTCCGCCTCCTGGGTTCAAGCAATTCTCCTGCCTTGCCTCCTGTGTAGCTGGGATTACAGACGCACGCCACCATGCCTGGCTAATTTTTGTGTTTTTTTAGTAAAGACTGGGTTTCACCATGTTGGGTAGGCTGATCTCAAACTCCTGACTTTATGATCTGCCCGCCTTGGCCTCCCAAAGTGCTGGGATTACAGGCGTGAGCCACCGCACCCAGCCTGTTTGTTTGTTTGTTTGTTTTAAATACTGCCATGAGTCAGGGCCTGTACTCTCTCTGGGCACTACCTATGAATTGTGGTTAAAAGGAATAGACAGGCTGGGCACAGTGGCTCATGCCTGTAATACCAACACTTTGGGAGGCCAAGGCCAGAGAATCGCTTGAGGCCAGGAGTTAGAAGAGTGATAGAGTGACACTCTGTAAGAAAGGAGGGAGGGAAAGGAAGGAAATGAGGAAAAAAAGAAAGGAAAGGGAAGGAAAGATATATAATTTCATTTTTTAAAGGGGTAGGACAAATTACAGCTGTAACCTCCAATCTGCCTTTCTGCATCAAATTTTTTGAGGTGCATTAAAAGGCTCTCTTAAAATGTCTTTTGAAAATACATATACTAACACTTTATTTGTGGGAAGAAGGAAAATAGAGACTATCGTACTACATAGTAACTCTGACACCAAAAGCAGAAGGGCCAGCCTCCCTTTCCCCCCAGCTCAGGGCTGACTCCCTCCAGCTGGCTGTTTTCCTCCAAGAGGTATGACAGTGGCTGTTTTCCAGGGCAGTCCCAGAGTAGCCAGGCAGTCTGCCTTCAAATCAGGCCACACAGGTGGGGCCCAGAGCTGGTGTAACCAAGGTAAGCAAGACATCAGCTGGCTTTTTTCTGCTGAGACTGAAAGTTCAGTCCTGCTTTCTGCCACCTCCCTAGAGATGGCATGCATTGAATTATCAAGTCATGGCTGGGATTACAGGCATGGCTGGTGGTCTGGGACTGAGAGCTAGTAATTTCCTTAGTACCAAGTCACTTCACTCTGGCTGAGGGCTGTTCGT